CAGGTGGAGCAGAAGAGCTGGAGAGAGTCAGTGGTGCAGGTGGAGCAGAAGATCTGGAGAGAGTCAGTGGTGCAGGTGGAGCAGAAGATCTGGAGAGAGTCAGTGGTGCAGGTGGAGCAGAAGAGCTGGAGAGAGTCAGTGGTGCAGGTGGAGCAGAAGAGCTGGAGGGAGAGAGTCAGTGGTGTAGGTGGAGCAGAAGAGCTGGAGAGAGTCAGTGGTGCAGGTGGAGCAGAAGAGCTGGAGAGAGTCAGTGGTGCAGGTGGAGCAGAAGAGCTGGAGAGAGTCAGTGGTGCAGGTGGAGCAGAAGAGCTGGAGAGAGTCAGTGGTGCAGGTGGAGCAGAAGAGCTGGAGAGAGTCAGTGGTGCAGGTGGAGCAGAAGAGCTGGAGAGAGTCAGTGGTGTAGGTGGAGCAGAAGAGCTGGAGAGAGTCAGTGGTGCAGGTGGAGCAGAAGAGCTGGAGAGAGTCAGTGGTGTAGTTGGAGCAGAAGAGCTGGAGAGAGTCAGTGGTGTAGGTGGAGCAGAAGAGCTGGAGAGAATCAGTGGTGCAGGTGGAGCAGAAGAGCTGGAGAGAGTCAGTGGTGCAGGTGGAGCAGAAGAGCTGGAGAGAGTCAGTGGTGCAGGTGGAGCAGAAGAGCTGGAGAGAGTCAGTGGTGTAGGTGGAGCAGAAGAGCTGGAGAGAGTCAGTGGTGCAGGTGGAGCAGAAGAGCTGGAGAGAGTCAGTGGTGCAGGTGGAGCAGAAGAGCTGGAGAGAGTCAGTGGTGTAGGTGGAGCAGAAGAGCTGGAGAGAGTCAGTGGTGTAGGTGGAGCAGAAGAGCTGGAGAGAGTCAGTGGTGCAGGTGGAGCAGAAGAGCTGGAGGGAGAGAGTCAGTGGTGTAGGTGGAGCAGAAGAGCTGGAGAGAGTCAGTGGTGCAGGTGGAGCAGAAGAGCTGGAGAGAGTCAGTGGTGCAGGTGGAGCAGAAGAGCTGGAGAGAGTCAGTGGTGTAGGTGGAGCAGAAGAGCTGGAGAGAGTCAGTGGTGCAGGTGGAGCAGAAGAGCTGGAGAGAGTCAGTGGTGTAGGTGGAGCAGAAGAGCTGGAGAGAGTCAGTGGTGTAGGTGGAGCAGAAGAGCTGGAGAGAGTCAGTGGTGCAGGTGGAGCAGAAGAGCTGGAGAGAGTCAGTGGTGCAGGTGGAGCAGAAGAGCTGGAGAGAGTCAGTGGTGCAGGTGGAGCAGAAGAGCTGGAGAGAGTCAGCGGTGCAGGTGGAGCAAAAGAACTGGAGAGTGTCAGCGGTGCAGGTGGAGCAGAAGAACTGGAGAGAGTCAGCGGTGCAGGTGGAGCAAAAGAACTGGGCTGGAGAGAGTCAGTGGTGTAGGTGGAGCAGAAGAGCTGGAGAGAGTCAGTGGTGCAGGTGGAGCAGAAGAGCTGGAGAGAGTCAGTGGTGCAGGTGGAGCAGAAGAGCTGGAGAGAGTCAGTGGTGCAGGTGGAGCAGAAGAGCTGGAGAGAGTCAGTGGTGTAGGTGGAGCAGAAGAGCTGGAGAGAGTCAGTGGTGCAGGTGGAGCAGAAGAGCTGGAGAGAGTCAGTGGTGCAGGTGGAGCAGAAGAGCTGGAGAGAGTCAGTGGTGTAGGTGGAGCAGAAGAGCTGGAGAGAGTCAGTGGTGTAGGTGGAGCAGAAGAGCTGGAGAGAGTCAGTGGTGCAGGTGGAGCAGAAGAGCTGGAGGGAGAGAGTCAGTGGTGTAGGTGGAGCAGAAGAGCTGGAGAGAGTCAGTGGTGCAGGTGGAGCAGAAGAGCTGGAGAGAGTCAGTGGTGCAGGTGGAGCAGAAGAGCTGGAGAGAGTCAGTGGTGTAGGTGGAGCAGAAGAGCTGGAGAGAGTCAGTGGTGCAGGTGGAGCAGAAGAGCTGGAGAGAGTCAGTGGTGTAGGTGGAGCAGAAGAGCTGGAGAGAGTCAGTGGTGTAGGTGGAGCAGAAGAGCTGGAGAGAGTCAGTGGTGCAGGTGGAGCAGAAGAGCTGGAGAGAGTCAGTGGTGCAGGTGGAGCAGAAGAGCTGGAGAGAGTCAGTGGTGCAGGTGGAGCAGAAGAGCTGGAGAGAGTCAGCGGTGCAGGTGGAGCAAAAGAACTGGAGAGTGTCAGCGGTGCAGGTGGAGCAGAAGAACTGGAGAGAGTCAGCGGTGCAGGTGGAGCAAAAGAACTGGAGAGTGTCAGCGGTGCAGGTGGAGCAGAAGAGCTGGAGAGAGTCAGTGGTGCAGGTGGAGCAGAAGAGCTGGAGAGAGTCAGTGGTGTAGGTGGAGCAGAAGAGCTGGAGAGAGTCAGTGGTGCAGGTGGAGCAGAAGAGCTGGAGAGAGTCAGTGGTGTAGGTGGAGCAGAAGAGCTGGAGAGAGTCAGTGGTGTAGGTGGAGCAGAAGAGCTGGAGAGAGTCAGTGGTGCAGGTGGAGCAGAAGAGCTGGAGAGAGTCAGTGGTGTAGGTGGAGCAGAAGAGCTGGAGAGAGTCAGTGGTGCAGGTGGAGCAGAAGAGCTGGAGAGAGTCAGTGGTGCAGGTGGAGCAGAAGAACTGGAGAGAGTCAGTGGTGCAGGTGGAGCAGAAGAGCTGGAGAGAGTCAGTGGTGCAGGTGGAGCAGAAGAGCTGGAGAGAGTCAGTGGTGCAGGTGGAGCAGAAGAGCTGGAGAGAGTCAGTGGTGCAGGTGGAGCAAAAGAACTGGAGAGTGTCAGCGGTGCAGGTGGAGCAGAAGAACTGGAGAGAGTCAGCGGTGCAGGTGGAGCAAAAGAACTGGAGAGTGTCAGCGGTGCAGGTGGAGCAGAAGAGCTGGAGAGAGTCAGCGGTGCAGGTGGAGCAGAAGAGCTGGAGAGAGTCAGTGGTGTAGGTGGAGCAGAAGAGCTGGAGAGAGTCAGTGGTGTAGGTGGAGCAGAAGAGCTGGAGAGAGTCAGTGGTGTAGGTGGAGCAGAAGAGCTGGAGAGAGTCAGTGGTGCAGGTGGAGCAGAAGAGCTGGAGAGAGTCAGTGGTGCAGGTGGAGCAGAAGAGCTGGAGAGAGTCAGTGGTGCAGGTGGAGCAGAAGAGCTGGAGAGAGTCAGTGGTGCAGGTGGAGCAAAAGAACTGGAGAGTGTCAGCGGTGCAGGTGGAGCAGAAGAACTGGAGAGAGTCAGCGGTGCAGGTGGAGCAAAAGAACTGGAGAGTGTCAGCGGTGCAGGTGGAGCAGAAGAGCTGGAGAGAGTCAGTGGTGCAGGTGGAGCAGAAGAGCTGGAGAGAGTCAGTGGTGCAGGTGGAGCAGAAGAGCTGGAGAGAGTCAGTGGTGCAGGTGAAGCAGAAGAGCTGGAGAGAGTCAGTGGTGCAGGTGGAGCAGAAGAGCTGGAGAGAGTCAGCGGTGCAGGTGGAGCAGAAGAGCTGGAGAGAGTCAGCGGTGCAGGTGGAGCAGAAGAGCTGGAGAGAGTCAGTGGTGCAGGTGGAGCAGAAGAGCTGGAGAGAGTCAGTGGTGCAGGTGGAGCAGAAGAGCTGGAGAGAGTCAGCGGTGTAGGTGGAGCAGAAGAGCTGGAGAGAGTCAGTGGTGCAGGTGGAGCAGAAGAACTGGAGAGAGTCAGTGGTGCAGGTGGAGCAGAAGAGCTGGAGAGAGTCAGTGGTGCAGGTGGAGCAGAAGAGCTGGAGAGAGTCAGCGGTGTAGGTGGAGCAGAAGAGCTGGAGAGAGTCAGTGGTGTAGGTGGAGCAGAAGAGCTGGAGAGAGTCAGTGGTGTAGGTGGAGCAGAAGAGCTGGAGAGAGTCAGTGGTGCAGGTGGAGCAGAAGAACTGGAGAGAGTCAGTGGTGCAGGTGAAGCAGAAGAGCTGGAGAGAGTCAGTGGTGCAGGTGAAGCCGATGAGCTGTGAGGCACCAGAGGAACATGTGAGTCCAGTGAACTGGGTGGAGCCGGACATGAGTGTGGAGACAATGGGGTGGGCAGTACATTGAGTGGGACAGGGTTATCAATGACATTGACTGGACCGGGCTGAGAAGGGAAGAGTTTAGCGTGGTGAGATGGGTGGAAGCTGTTTCATGTCGAAGTTGATGATCCAGTACTCCTCGACTGGCTCATGGATGGAGTAACCTGATTTTATGACTTTATGGCAGATCTTGCTGAAAAACTCCTTAGCCCATCTTTTTCATCTGGCTGTTGATTGCTGTAATTATCTTCATAAAGTTGCACACTGTTTTTGCAGCAACTTAATAATGAGTGTTGCATTTTTAATGTTAAAGTTACAAATTGTAATGTTTTAACATTAAGTGCTTGTCAAAAGATGCAGATGTCTCAAGAACAGTTTTAAAAATATATAACATTATGTTTAAGAAGTATTTTTGGGAATACTAAATATTAAAAAATAATAATTCTTAAGTTAAAAAATTATTAGATAACAGTTAAGATGAATTATATTCTTAAGAATGTTTTGTGAATCCGTCCCCAGATTTTGTTGTGTGTGTTTAGAACTTTAAAAACCGGCTCCAATCATAGTGTATTATGTGTGCAGTGTGTGTCTAAATCAGCAGTTCCTCTTTCACTGAAGGGGTTTTTGTACGGCTGTGTATCACTGTGTTAATGGTAATTGAGCATGCTGCTGACAGTAATAATCTCCTGCATCTTCAGGCTGGACATTTCTAATATTGAGCATGAAGTTTGTTCCTGATCTCCCATCAGTGAATCTCTCAGAAACTCCAGACACTTTGTTACCAACACTAGTGAACAGGAGTTTGTGTGTTTGTCCGGGTCTCTGGTGATACCAGGCTAAACTGGATGTAAAGCTGGAACTGCTGGACCCGCAGTTGAGAGTGACGCTGCTTCCCACAGACGCCAGATTCACGGATGGACTCTGAGTCAGAATGATCTCAGCAAAACAACCTGCCATCACAGCACATCAGTCAGTGTTACAGTCAAACACACAATACATGAGAAGAATGATACAACATTTATAAAGCACTTCTGAAAAAGCTCTGAATATTCAACACTAATCTCACCAGCGAGAGAAAGCAGTAGAGAGCAGATAATCAGAGCGTTTGCAGTCATCTTTGCTGAGAATGAGTGAGAACAGACGAGACCTGCTGTTTACAGTCCTGACCGGCGGACAGTCCGTCTTAAACAAAGGGGTGTTGCACATATTCAAAGCTGCTTCCTTTCAGGAGGAAATCTGACACACTGATTTAAATAAATTCAGTTTTAAAATATATTTAATTTAATTTCTCTACTTATTAAGAATTTATATCAGTATCAACTGATATTTCTCAAGAGTTTCCAAGGATATGATAATGATATCTAATAAACATTCAGTAGTTGACCATCAGTGAATCAAATGGAGTTTAGATTGTGTTTAATTAATCATGGAATGATATACTACAACATTTTTCCTTTTTTAAATTAAATGTATATATATTATTTAATTGAACTGTAATTGACACTAAACACTAAATGAACTGAAAGATGTTGTTTTGGAGATGCAGTGAACAGTGCAGCTACTGAAGCGTTCAGCAGGTTTTTGTACGTCTGCTCTATTAGTGTGTATCACTGTGAAGGACTTTCGGCAGCGGCACCAGACTGGATGTTGGCAGTAAGTAAATGTTTAAATCATTTTAATTCAGTACAGTGTTGTCATATTTAGTTATATATTCTATGACATTATGAATGTTTTACTTTGTCTTGTGGAACAAAAATAATCTATTTGATATGCTTACAGTGAATATAGTGGTTTAAATGTAAGAGATGATAATACAGACATACAACAATAATACATAACTACAAAAAGAAAAAGATTTGAATATCTTCACCAGTATTGACCTGGGCTGCGTTTCCCAAAAGCATCGTAAGCTTAAGTTGATAGTTGCCACCAATGGTCTCTACAATAGGCTTACGATGCTTTTGGGAAATGCAGCCCAGGAAAAGAGATACATTTGCTCATTGACATGCTATAAGAGCATGAGAAGAATATATTTTTTTGAAATGTGACATACTACTTAGAATAAATATATAAATTGATAAATAAATACAAACACACTGTAGGCTAAAATACCCATTACATCCCTGTATTCAAAATGTACTATACGCTATTATAGATTTTCAATCTACTTTTAAATAAAACAATTGTAAAACTTATTCATGAAATATAAATGTGTTGTTTTGAAAAACAGATATTGTAATACACTATATAGAATTTAAAATTTAAGATTTATTTTAAAATAATTTAAAAAGTATAGTTATAATATATAATACAATTTAGAATATTTTTTACACCCCTCTTCTGGGAAAAAAAGTGCAATTTAGGATACTTTTAAGAGTACTTATTACAAAATAATAATATGTTTTAACATCATACTTCAGTGTGAACCAAAATGTATGTTTTCAGACACTTAATTGCATGTTATTGAAAAGAAAATATATATTATGGCTTAAGTTCATATGAAATGCAATTAGCTAAACTTTAGAGTGTTTTTTTTAACTTACTTAAGCAAGGCTTAATTACATCTTTGTATGTCATTTCTTAATTCATTATATTGTCTTTGAAATATGGTTAAAATGAACTGACTTTTTTTGTACACTAAAAGATACTTTAATGTAATTTCTATTGAAACGTGCCCATCATGTATTTAAATAAACTTGTGATTACACATTTGTAAAGATGAAGCTGCAATTTTAAATTATATAAATTATTTCAATAATGAATTTTAAATATATTAACTTATCAAATAACACACAAGAGTTACAATTATAATGAAGTACTCTACAGAGTGCTTTACGTTTTTCAATACATCAAAATAAGTGCACTTCTTTAAAGCGTACTTAAGTGTGTTAAGAAACATAGTCATGAAAGTCTCTTTAATTGCACTTAAATGGCCTTTTATAATATTAGTTTGTCTATTTAAACTAATGTTTTCTGTCACTTTAATCTGTAATAAACTGAAGCTGTTTGTTAAGCGAGTTGTTTGTGGTCCCGCTGCTCTTCTTCTCTCAGGCAACACTCCTCCTAAAGTGATCATCCTGCCCCCGTCCAGTGCAGAGATCTCCTCTCTGAACACAGCGACACTGCTGTGTGTGGCCAGCGAGGGATTGCCGTCAGACTGGAGCCTGAGCTGGAAGGTGGACGACAGCAGCAGGGCTCAGGAGAGCAGCGCTGGGCTCCTGCAGAAGGACGCTCTGTACAGCTGGAGCAGCAGCCTGACTCTCTCTGAGCAGGAGTGGATGAAGAGCGTCTCAGTGAGCTGTGAGGCCACACGGAGCGGCCAGCCTGCAGTCACTGCACAACTGAGGAGAGATCAGTGTTCAGATCAGTAGATCCGCTCAGTCTCTCCTCTGGCTTCTGCTTCATCCTTCTAGCTGACGTGTCTCTTCTGCTTCTCTGAGTTCATTCACACAAGAGCATGCTATGATGTTCTGTTATAACTGAAATAAAATCAATAATACAGTGTCTGTCTTTGAGTCCTTTTGTATGATTTGAGAAAAAAAGAAATATGTGTTTAATGTTGTGTAACATTTAATGTTTTATATCCTGCCGTTACAAATCAGTGTTTAGAAGTACAAATATTCCAATAAATGTTATTATAATATATTGTATCCTCTCTAATCTTATGGTGGTCTGCATCAAAAAATGAATAAATAAATATTAGATGGAGTCACATTGTAAAACATGTTGACTTCCCTATAAAGTATTTCATCTCAAATACCCAAATAAATGTCACTCAGTGAAGCATGACAACACCTGCACAGTAAATTATGAAACATGAAAGTCATCTTGAAACAGCATTTGCAAGTGTTGCTATTGTTAACAAAAACTCTAAATTCTAAAAAATTTAATAAATAAAAAATATTAAAAAATAAAGGTTCCAAAAGGGTTTTTTCGCAGTGATTCCACAGAAGAACCATTTTTTGGTTTCCCAAAGAACCTTTCAACCACTCTAGCTTCAACTCTAATTAAACACACCTGATCCAGCTAATCAAGTCCCTCAGGCTCATTTAAAAACTACAGGTATGTTTGTTGGAGCTGGTTGGAACTAAACTCTGCAGGGCTGTGGCTCTCCAGGAACTGAGTTTGACACCCCTGCTTTATGGTATCATGCTGACTTACACAGACAACAAGAATCAGCATATGAATCTCAACAATGGTGACCGTTAAAAACGATTCATCCTGCAATGCATGCTGGGAGCCATGGCAAAGGTTTGTATTATGGTAGTACCCAGCATGCATTGCAGTATGAATCGTTTTTTAATGGTCACCTTTATTGAGATTCATTTGCTGATTCTTGATATCTGTGTTAGTTTTGGTAATGAATTACATTTTCTGTAAAATCCTTCATACTATCTGATTGTCATAATATTGCTAGTTCTTTTGTTGTAGAATCTAGTTTGAAATACAACTAATTTTCACGATGTGGGTTTGTGTCTTGTCATGTTTAGTGGTTCCCTGTCTTGTCCATTAGTTATCCCAGGTGTTTCTTGTTAACCACGCCCCCTTGTTATCCTGTCTAGCTCGTTTGTCCCTGATTATTTAAGCCCTGTCTTTGTGAGTTGTTAAATGTGTGTTCTGTTCCAGGATTAACGTGAGTGTTGGTCGTTCCTGTGTAAAGATTCCTGTTCCTAGTTCTGAGTCTCTGTTTAAGGTTATAGTTTGTTTAAATAAAGCGTGTACACTGCGTTTGGATCCAGCCTCCTCTCTGCCTTCACCGCATCACGTTACAGATCATCACACTAATAATATAATCAGAGATTAGACTCTGAATGAGATCAGTGAATCAAGTCATTAAGTGATGATTGTCATCATCAAACCTTAACCATCATCACCTGATCATACCTTTCCTTGATTTTTGCGCCATAACAAATGTTTCATAAACACTCAATTACAGCAGCCAAAGAAAAACTTGTACTCAAACGTCAAGGGTCAAGAGCCCAACTAAAGCAAACGCTGATCTCCATCATGGTGACCTTAAACCTTGTATTTCTTGTGTTTCTCTTTCATTCTGCTTGTTAACAGCAGGTGTTCATCACTAATGATCAATCATCAATTAATTGATCAATGATTAATTTACTTAACTATACAATTATTATTCAATTATCATTCTGGGATTTAGAAATGTTCTATAACTCATTCAGTTTGAGATCTGTTTCAGTCATTCAAGCCACTTCAAGTTTCAGTTTTATTTGAGTGCAGTCAACTCAATTTAATTGAGTAAATAGTACTGTTAGGTTTTACAGTGAATAGGCATATGAATAGGTGTATGAATAGGGTTAATTTGGGTCTTTTTCTAAACTTTCCACTACTGGAATTCTTCTGGGCTTTTTTTCCCTTACTCAGGACACATTGAGGATACAAAATCAGTTGAGTTTGCTTCTGTTGCAATTTGTTCTAGGTTGACCCCCATTTTGGCTTAAAATGACTGGACTATTAGAGGGGAGCGCAGCTCGTCCACTGCGTCAGGGGAGAGACCCTGCCCCTGATCCAAATCCTTCAGCAGGTCGACTTGGTATGCCTGTAACACTGGCATAGTGTGTAAGGAAGCCCCAGTCTGATCTCCTGCCGTGTATGCCCTGCTGTTCAAGCGAGATGTCATCTTGAGTGGCTTATAAGGCTGGGCCGGAGCTTTTAGTGCCGATGCCTCTTCAGCAGCGAGATAGTTCCTGAACGTCTAGTCGATTGGGGGCATCGACACATACCCATGTTCACGCATCCCCTCGATATCAGTGTAGTTTGCTCACTGCTGTCGATGGATGTTTGCAGAATATGGGTTCTTCCATGCCTTCTTGATCTCAGTATGCAGATCATGAAGGATTGGAAGGCTCATGGGAGCTGGGGAATTATGGCCAGAAAGGAACCGCTCATCCAGCCTGCCACGAACGGCTCCTTTCTTCACGCACTCCCACGGCAGCTGAAGCCTCGCTGAAGCGCGCTCCATAACACCCAACAGCTCATCATATGCGGGTCAGGGAGGCTGTGAGGGTTCAGGTTGTACCTCTTCTTCATCAGCCATCTCCTGCTCTCTCGGGATAGGTGCCAGCAGAGCACTCGCTGCAGGATCAGAGGATGTAAGAGATAACACATCCTCGTCCAGCAACTCACCCTCGCGAGCTTCTGATGGGCGTGAGAGAGAAACACCTCTCTCAAACTCATCAGCGAGCTTCATCTGGGAACCCCTTGATCCGAGTCTCCGCAGTGCCTCAGCACGAGCCGGACCCGAACCACTGGGCCCAGATGCCTGTTCCTCTTCCCTCGAGAAGAGGGCCAGACGAGAGCAGAGTTTTCTAAGAGGAAAACTCTCACATTCTTCACAATCAGATCCCTCAAGAGCAGATCGTGCGTGTAAAAAGTTAAAAAGACTACCTGCTACTCATTAGATGAAAAAAACAATTTAAGTAATTTTTAACAGAAGGGGCCCCAGAAGCCCCAGATTTTGTTGTGTGTGTTTAGAACTTTAAAAACCGGCTCCAATCATAGTGTAATATGTGTGCAGTGTGTGTCTAAATCAGCAGTTCCTCTTTCACTGAAGGGGTTTTTGTACGGCTGTGTATCACTGTGTTAATGGTAATTGAGCATGCTGCTGACAGTAATAATCTCCTGCATCTTCAGACTGGACATTTCTAATATTGAGCATGTAGTTTGTTCCTGATCTCCCATCAGTGAATCTCTCAGAAACTCCAGACACTTTGCTACCAACACTAGTGAACAGGAGTTTGTGTGTTTGTCCGGGTCTCTGGTGATACCAGGCTAAATGGGTTGATACACTGGAACTGCTGGACCCGCAGTTGAGAGTGACGCTGCTTCCCACAGACGCCAGATTCACGGATGGACTCTGAGTCAGAATGATCTCAGCAAAACAACCTGTCATCACAGCACATCAGTCAGTGTTACAGTCAAACACACAATACATGAGAAGAATGATACAACATTTATAAAGCACTTCTGAAAAAGCTCTGAATATTCAACACTAATCTCACCAGCGAGAGAAAGCAGTAGAGAGCAGATAATCAGAGCGTTTGCAGTCATCTTTGCTGAGAATGAGTGAGAACAGACGAGACCTGCTGTTTACAGTCCTGACCGGCGGACAGTCCGTCTTAAACAAAGGGGTGTTGCACATATTCAAAGCTGCTTCCTTTCAGGAGGAAATCTGACACACTGATTTAAATAAATTCAGTTTTAAAATATATTTCATTTAATTTCTCTACTTATTAAGAATTTATATCAGTATCAACTGATATTTCTCAAGAGTTTCCAAGGATATGATAATGATATCTAATAAACATTCAGTAGTTGACCATCAGTGAAATCAAATAGAGTTTAGATTGCAATGTTTAAACGTAGAATCATATATTATAAAAAATGTTATTTAAAAAAAATGAGATGTATATATTTTTATTGAACTGTAATTGACACTAAACACTAAATGAACAGAAAGATGTTGTTTTGGAGATGCAGTGAACAGTGCAGCTACTGAAGCGTTCAGCAGGTTTTTGTACGTCTGCTCTATTAGTGTGTATCACTGTGATATACTTTCGGCAGCGGCACCAGACTGGATGTTGGCAGTAAGTAAATATTTAAATCATTTTTATATACAATGTTGTCATATTTAGTCATGTAACTGTAATTTATGACAAAAAAAGAGAAATATTTTCCTTCATATTGGGGAAAACATTTATATTTGATCTGCAGTGTGTATTTCTCAATGCAGTTTTACATTTATGAGTTAATATTACAGACACACACTACAAAAGTCTTTTCTACAAATAAGATTTTGGACATTTTCACCATTGTTGGACAGGAAAAAGATACATTGAATAAATATTGACAGAGCATGAGAAAAATATACAAATAAAAAAATTGTCGATTTGGACAAAAGTTAATACATTGTACAAAAATTTTGTATAAAAATTATAATACATTTTCACAATTTTAAAAACGTACAATTTAGGATATAAAAATAATGTACTTTAATTGAACATACTTAAGTGTGTGAACTAAATGTAATATTTTCAGAAGAAAAAAGTATGCTCAGATTCAAATCAAATGCATTTAGTGCTTTTTGACCCACTTAAGTTCTTAAGTACTTTATGTCTTTATATTAAGTTGGCTACTTTAAGTTATTTAATGTAATTTCATAATTGACAAGCATTTTTTTGTAAACTAAAATATTCTTTAATGTAATTTCTATTGATTGATTGCACATTTGTAAACATGAAACTCTGCAATTCAATACATTGTAATATATTAACTTTAAGTGTAATATAGAGTAACACACTACAGTAAAAATGTAAATCAATCATATTTACATGTGCTTTAGTATAGTAGTCAACACATCAAAATAAGGGTACTTCATTTAATGATTATTAAAATAATTATTAAAACATAATGATTTAAATTTAAAAAGTCAAATCTTTCAATTACAATTCAACTTTTTAAAAGTCTATTTAAGTGTGATAAGAAGCATGCTG